TGTCTCATAAGAGGGTGAGGCATTGATGTGTTCAGGAGTGTGTCTCATAAGAGGGTGAGGCATTGATGTGTTTGATTTTTCTAAATTCAGCTCTATAATAAGTTTCATTTTAAATTGGATGAACAAGTGAACGAAAAGTTGGATTGCATATTTTAGAATAACTTTTGAAAATATTTTAAAGTGTTATATAGTATGTTGGATATTTGTAGCTATTGAATATATGCACGAAAGATAACTGTTAAAACTACACTGTTCAAAAAAAAGGTAAAAAACGGTATCACCAGCGTTCTAGTTGCCGGCCGCCACGTGAAAATAAACCATGTATCCGTTTTTTTTTCAGCTGTTGTACGAGTTTCTAGTGTTAATTTGAATAAAAACGGCCATACGGCGCTTCTTTTCACGTGTCGGCCGGCCACTAGAACGCCGGTGATATTTCTTACAGTGTACAGTGCATTGAAAATTAATTTCATTGTACTTCTGAAACTAAATATGGCCTGTAAGTGAGTCACTAAATTAGAATGAATGTTTTTTTAATTACTTCGAAAAAATGAAGAGTCTAAACATTTATTCATTAACTGAATGTTCACTTAAGGTGTAGTGCCCAAAATTGAAAACAGATATGAACATATGCGCGATGTGCGACTTGAGAAACGGCGTGAAATATTGAGTGTTATTCTTGTTATGTTTTGTGTTATTATTATGCACCTGTGTTATTGCCGGGTGCATGAATATGTAATTATCGGTGCATAGATTAACTTCGCTAGCTGTTTCTAAAAAAAACTTCTAAAAAATGTATGTATCTTCATGCGAATTTTCAGAAGATGAATATTTTATTAAAAAGTGATGCTTCGTAATTTAAGTTTAGTGTAAATTTGTATGAATTTGTGTAAAATTTGTATTGTAACAACTAAATGGAGCAAAATAGAGAGGAAAATCTCGAACACATATATATAGAAGAGATCACAGCGACATGATTGATTAATGGTTTGAATTAATTAAAAACATGGTCCATCTGTGACATTTATGGATCAGAATACGTATTATATATACAAGCGTTTTGGTAATGTCGTAGCCTGAAGTGTTTTAATGATCACAGTTACGTGTACATGCGCGTGATTAACAGCCAAAGAAGCTGACTCAGAGAATTGTGATAGAAGAGGCTTGGTCAAGCGTTGCAACAATGGATGTTTGCATGGATTGACGAGGAATTTACGGATTAACAAATAGCAGATATCCTGCGCACAAAGCACAAGGAATTGTCGTAGTTAACGAACGAAGACAAAATTAAGGTTATTATCATATTAATTAATAGACAAATAATAACGAGAGGCGTTAAATAACTGAATGTGTCGGTGCCATAAATTATGTTCGTATGTGATATTGCAAGTTGTCTTGTGAATATTTTCTGAATCCATACCTAAAATTTTTTTCTCGTATGATTAAGATATATTCAGCAAAACCTACAGAAACATTGTTCCGGCTCATTGTAATGATTGCATTAATTCTAACATTCAATCCTTTTGTGCATAGTTTTCAGGAATTCTCTCAGCTTTGTGATTAGTATTTTAATTATATCTCATATCATGGCATAACTTGCATTGTGTACATGACTAAAAAGTGAACAGACACTATTTGATGGGCCTAACAGCCTGGTCACAGAAGTTGACTAAGTGAATGGACCTGCAATAGAAGTATACGAATTTAAATTCTGTATTTATATTTTAACTATCATCACCGAATTTATTTATCAGAGAATATTTACACATCTAGCAAGTGGTGCAAGCAATTTACTAGTCGTAGACTAACTACTTGACTAGTTAGGCTAGGCTGTGCTAGGTGGCGCTCGTAAGCAAGTTGTGCTCTAGTGAATACGTTAGAGTGAGAGCAACATATTAGCGATGCAGCTTACCTTCGCCTGTCTTTATCTCCAATACTTTTATTCATCACTACGAATATAACAAGAAGACAACACATCTGGCAAAGCAAATAATAAATCTAATAAATTAACGATTTATTCATAGCTTTATTAATTGTATTATTTTTTTTCAAAAATTGAAATTCAGATCAAAACTGATGTATTTACGATGAACTAGAACAAACTTCTCTATGAAAGCGAATAAATAATAAAAGATCAAGTGAACATAATATTAAGAATATGATCGCAATAATATGTACTAGAATTATATTAGTTCGATAGGATTAGAAATAGAATAAATGAACATTGCCGAAAATAATAAACGGATAGCATCAATGTAATAATTATTTCGCATTGGTGGACGAAAATTGAGCGTAATTTATTTCTCTGACAAAATACAATATTAATTAGGATTATTATTCAATGCATAAAACATAAGATAAAGAAATTCGTTCGGAAAATATAAGAATGTTTAATTCAAGAATTCATCAAAAATACGGTTAGCAGCGGCGCTGATTTTCATAAAAGAACGGAACGTCGTTGTGGATAAATATCTACGACCAAGCGAATGCCGGCCGAGGAAACGGAGAAGGATTCGCTCGAGTTCTTAGCGAGGGAGGAGGGAATGGTAGGATTAAAATCGGTGTTTCATTTATTTTTTGAGTGTCAAGCTTGAGTAGGTGCTTGCAGCGTTACTCCTTCTGCCATTTTTCATGATGAACCTCATGTAAGAACTTCATTTCTCCTGAACTACATACAGGTTATCGTTTCGAAAATAATAACTTTTTCGATTAAATCACGTTCCTCGTATAGTAAAACAAACATATTATTTCGGCCATATAAAAAAATTGATGGCCCGTTTAAAAAAAGTGTGTTGTGATGAAAAAGCAAAGGCCTGCTATAGGCTCTTACCTGGGTTTTTGGTCTGCGCCTGCTGCTGCATCTTACAGGTGTTCATCCTCCTAGAGAGGCTGATGCCCACAGGCTTAGCCTCGCCCGGTGCCAGGCATGATGCTTGCCGCACGCGCCGCGGCTGCTGCGCCGGCAGCACGCGCCGTCGCCGCTTCGGCAGCTTCGAGCGCGCCTGCGCTCACGGCAAGTGTCCGTTATATATACACTGATTTAGTGCAGATTGATTAAATAAAGTTACGTGGGAATAAAATGATTATTTTGGGTGATATTATGTATGAAAATTACAAACGCTTTAGGTGAACTAGCACAATCGTAAAAAATCATTTTATATGAAGTTACGCAAAAATAAAATTGATATTTTGGGTGATGTTAGTATGTATGAAAATTACGAACGCTTTGGGTGAACTAGCACAAACATAAAACATCCTTTTAAATGAAGTTACGTAAAAATAAGATTAATATTTTGGCTGATGTTATGTATGAAAATTACGAACGTTTTTGGGTGAACTAGCACAATCATAAAACATCTATTTATATGAAGTTACGTAAAAAAAAATAATTAATATTTTGGGTGACGTTATGTATGAAAATTACGAACGCTTTTGGTGAACTAGCACAATCATAAAACATCCTTTTATATGAAGTTACGTAATAATTAAAACAAATATTTTGGGTGCTGTTATTTATGAAAATTACGAACGGTTCAGGTGAACTAGCACAAACATAAAAGATCCTTTTAAATGAAGTTACGTAAAAATAAAAGGAATGTTTTAAATGGACTTATGTACACATACAATGAATGCATTTAGTGGAGTTACGTACTGCGAGAAGAGCTGTAGCCAAAGTCATGATAATAATGATGTGTGATGTACTGATGTAATAAATAAAATGTGTGATGTACTGCAATCATAAGGTAGTGTACTCTGGTGCAAGCTACAACACAGAATTAAAGTTAAAGCTGAAGTTTAAAAATAGGAGGGATGCTTTGCACAACGAACCATGGGTTGAATTTTGGCATATAACTTGTTTAATTAATAATCGTTGCTTTTTGGTCGCTAGTATCTTTAATTGATACTGATGGACAAAAATAATTTCTGACTGTAAAGCTAACGAACATGAAAGATAACTCTTACTTGCTACTTTTATTTGTGCAATTACGTTAGACGTAGAATTACGGAGACGTTAGTAAACTTTGCCTTATTCTGCACACAAACTAAGACCTGTGTGTGGCTGTATACTTCGTCGTGCACACAAACTAAGGACCTGTGTGTGGCTGTATAAGCACCTATGTGTGGCTGCATAAGCACCTATGTTTGGCTGTATAAGCACCTGCGTGTGGCTGTATAAGCACATGTGTGTGATTGTATAAGCACCTGTGTATGGCTGTATAAGCACCTGTGTGTGGCTGTATAAGGACCTGTGTGTGGCTGTATAAGGACCTGTGTGTGGCTGTATAAGCACATGTGTGTGATTGTATAAGCACCTGTGTGTGGCTGTATAAGGACNATAAGCACCTGTGTATGGCTGTATAAGGACCTGTGTGTGGCTGTATAAGCACCTGTGTATGGCTGTATAAGGACCTGTGTGTGGCTGTATAAGCACCTGTGTATGGCTGTAGAACATGGAGAAGTTGGAGACGATGACAGGCACGGGCAGAGAGATGGTGAGTACCCCCGCAATAGCACAGAGGGTGCCCACAAACATGCCCGCGTAGGTGCGGGGCACCATGTCCCCGTACCCCACCGTCGTCATCGTCACGATCGCCCACCACAAGCCCCCTGGGATGCTTTGGAAATCGTTGCGCGGGTTCACCTGTTCATATTTTGTGTGTGTAATCTTAATTTAACGCGAATAAGTACGAATTCTATGTGAATTATTTGAATGATACGTGAATAACAATTTTATGTGAATAATTTTACGTGAATAATAATTTGATGGGATAAATATTTATATTTTTGTAGTCCTGTGTGTACAGAGAGAAATCGACGCAAATCAATATCATTCAAGTGCATATCGTTGTACGGAGACGATGGGAATAAACATGGTACTTGGTTTGAATAATCGATACTAATAACTCCCGACATGACACAGATCGTCATTTAGAATTATTATACAAAGCGATTTAAACTCAACTGACAGTATATATTGGTTGAGACATTTATAATGATATTTAAAAATTCTGTAATGTCTTTTGGATTTGCTGAATATTTGCTACAAATATCTCATTAAAATTGTAACCTAAAAAATCACCATCACTAGTGAAAAGTCTGAGTAAATTGATAATTTACATATTTTCATCCATGTATTCACTACGAAAAAGAAGTTTCCCACACTCAAAATTTTCCACCAGCAACACACAAGTCACAGGCCTACCTGCAGCCTCTCTGCATAGTAGACGAGGCTGGCGAAGACGACGATGCCGAGCACCAGGAAGAAGACCAGCAGCGTGAGCTCCTTGGCCGACGCCTTGAACGTGTGCACGAGGATCTTAAGGCCCCCGCTGTGGCGCGTCAGCTTGAACAACCGCATGATGCGGATGATGCTCAGGAACTCGATCACTTCCGCAGACTTGCCGGAGTCGTCTGGCCACCAAGCAGTGAGGATTTGGGGTTACATGATGTGTCATAAAATAACTTCAGAATCATTGGAAAATAAGGATTGCTAACAAACTACTAACATTCAGATATGAGGGGTGATTCATTCCTTATTAGGAGCCCGAAAGTCCACTGATGACTTACCGGTGTCCCCCCAAAATCAGGTAAGGGTCACATAATTGGGCAACTAGCCCATTAGGCTTAACATGTTGAAGTATTTGATGAACAAGAGGAGAAACACCTGCTCCAGTTATTAGAAGAGATTGTTTGTAGCTACAAGAACTGCAGGTTTGAATATTTTAATATGGAATCACCAATATAACAAATTTAAAACTAGATTGAATAAAGATGTTTGTAACACCCAGATTATGTGTCTCAGAGGTCGGCTGATAAACAAGCGACTTTAATTTGTGGTGATGTCACCATATTTTCCCCAGGAACGACTTTCTTCATGAAAATGATCATGTTAATCTTCATGTGTATTAAATATAAGGCTATTTGCAGTCCTGCATGTATCGAAACTACGCAGCAAGAAAGCGATATTCGAAGCCTCTCATTAGAAGGATGACATAACACGGCCATAAGAGTGCACGTTAGCAGCTACTAATGGCCAGCCGATGAATGAATGGTTTTTGCTGGGCCTCCAGTCCTGCTGCCACGCAGTTAAAATCCAGGCATGGCCGTCAAGCTGCCGGCACCTTGAATCAGATGCTCGTGAACGTGATTAAATGATCATTTACAAGAAATTGCTTCCAGAGTATCAAGAACAAAAATTACATTAGTCGTCTTATGTAAACTGTGTCAGCTTATATATAACGCTAACGTTGAATACATAAAAAATCACCAACAATGAAAATTCTGAATGAATATAATTTGGTATTACATGCATAATTTATTAATGTTCATGAATCTTTTCCTTCATGTTCAAAAGATCTCGAGAAGTCTGCAGGAACAGACGAATAGATTTTATTTGTAGATTTCGAGGATTCGGTCTACATTGACTCTTCCATCGCAAGACAATATTAGCATAACTTATTACTTGCCGTACTTTGTCGTCAATCGAAGTCAAGTTTAGAGGATTGTTCATCGGTGCAGGAGCGACATGGGCAACAATTAACTAGACAGATCTGGCAAGGTAGCGAATAGTGCACAATGATCTTGTATTTGGGCAGTAATGCATTATAACTTCACTCAACATTACTAACATGAAAGTTTTGGGTGACATACATTATAAATTAACTTATCATCACTGACATAACTGTATTGGGAGACTAAAGCAATAACTCAGGACATTGTCCCGGTATCGTGTACCTCTGATGCTCTATGCTGTTACCCTCCACGTTTTAATGATAATATGTTATAGAAAACTTCATTTCACTTCTCTTTGACGGTCAAATTTTTGAGCAATGAGTCTCAAAAATTTGCTACACGTAATTATGCGTACTCATAACGTATTCCTCACGGTAACTGCTTCTCTTAATATGATAAGTCCTCATAAAATATTGCTCACAGTTGAACGTTCTCAAAATATATTCTTCGTGGGAAAGGGTACTTACAATGCATTTATCAGAACGGGAAGTAGTATATTGAGTTTTGTAGTGTATTAATGTTCGTGTCAGCGCGTCGGAAAGGTACAATTTGTCACATGTGTATACGGGCGCTACGACTGGGCTACGACAGGGCATTATGCAAGGGGGAGATCCCGACAGCTATATGAATCTGCACAGCAGGGCGGGTTCAAGGCCTTACTAGTGGGTTTAACAATTACATATTAAAGCCGGAAGAAGTTTTATCAGAAAAATTCACATATATATTGTAGTCGTTCATGATATTGGGCACCACGTAACCTGGAGGCCTGGAATCTGAAATTGTTACTATATATATGCTTCATTAACGAGTGGGTGCGGTGTAATAGATCAATCTGTTCGCAAACACCAATAACATCTGATTTGATAAATAACAAAGTGTACGATTTATATTTCATATGATTGTGTAAGCTAAACATGAAAAATACAATGTTGCTGCATTCAATTATTGAATCTTCTGGGAATTTCTGGTTGTAAACCCGCAAATTTGGACGTATTATCTGGCGGAAAATCTCACCTTCTTTAGGAAGTGAGGTGAGCAGGATGTCCACATAGAAACTGAGAGTGGCCACGAAGTCGATGGCATTGATTGTGTTCTTGATAAAGATGAGAGGCTGGGGGGTGACCGAGAAGCGGATGATGAGCTCAACTGTGAACCACATGTTGCACGCCGCCTCGATGTAGAAAAACGCGCTGTGAGGATCGCTCCTGGCAGCAGATGACCAGATAATTTATAATACCTTGTATCAATGCATGAGAACGCCTATTAGTAAGCCTGTGCAAGATGATGATTATGAGAATCTGTTTCGAATTTTTTGCGGTGAGCTTAGCCGTTCGGCACAGGCACCATCGCAAAAAAGTAAAATTAGGCCTTAAAAACGAACTGTAGAGGCATGGCCGCGTTTGCGGATGATTTGGCCGGGCACGGCGGTGGCCTCAGTCGTTTTCTCGCAGGTATGCGCGAATGTTTCGAAAGTTTCAACATGCCAGCCTGCCTTTCGTCTTGTGCGGCGCTGGCGTTATTGTCGGGGCAGTAACGTTATCTCGTGGCTGCATTCCCAACTGCGGCTATTTCTGACAAGGAATGCACTTAATGCGACAATCTGCATAGCACAATGCTTTGTTTCTCGAACTTGTAGCCGAAATATAGCTACAAATATCGACAGAGATGAATGGAAATTTATAGTTGATTGGAGCATTTGCTGTTCAAGCGATATTTTAATATTCTCTTGTAAATGAAAACTCAACGATTGGCTAATGCAAGGAAGTTATTATGACAAAAATATCCTGTCGCTGGGTGTTATGGTGAACACTGCAGTATTTAAAGGATGAAAAGTGTCATAACTTTAAAAGTAAGCATAATCATTCAGTAAAAATATTTTTACACAAAATTTTGCTGGTATTCCATCAAATGAACAATTTATACAACATACGTTATAACGCAGGGAAAGTGATTTACGGTAATCGCGATTCATATATTCAATAAGAAAACGCAGATATTTTAATATTTTAAAACATATTTGCGGAAAGTAATAGCATGAAAGCCACTTAACATATAAGAAAATTGACTTCTTGCGCCAAATAAAAGGGCTTACTACGTCAAATTGCTCCTAATAACATCAAGTAAAAAAAGTTCAATACTCGCCTATTTTTGCCTAGCTATAGTCAAGCGGACAAAATTTTTCGCTCAGTGTGTAACATTTTTGTGGATTGTGAGCACGAATCTAATTTGTTCAAGTAATTGCGCTCGCTGAAAAGTTTTCAGCCTGATCAACCCGCCCCTGAGACTCTGATGAGCTCAGAGACCCTGGAGAAAAATCATCGGTGAGTTTCAGGAAACCGACAAAAGCTCGACGCTCCTATTTAAAAAAATAACGTATTTCTAAAATGCATTTTAAAAATTAATTAATATGAATTTTAATTAGGTCTTCTACTTTAAGTACCAAAAAATGAACTATTGACGAAATTCACGTTGGAGTTAATAGAAGATGGAGAAAAATGTATAAAAATTGTTTGTTGTGCAAAAGCTCAAGTAAGAAATTAGAAATTGGGAAAGATTTTTATTGGATTGATACGAGTCTTTAGTTTATAAATCTTGCGTATATTTGTCAATGATTCGTGTGGGTATGTGGGTTTGGAGCCTGGCACCGCAATATATAGGAGCTGTTGGGGTGCGTATCCAAGATTACTTATCGTGTCGGTATATTGTATATAGGGGCTGTTGGGGCGCGTATTCAGGATGCTTATCGTGTCGGGATATTGTATATAGGGGCTGTTGGGGCGCGTATCCAGGATACTTATCGTGTCGGGATATTGTATTTAGTGGCTGTTGGGGCGCGTATCCAGGATACTTATCGTGTCGGTATATTGTATATAGGGGCTGTTGGGACGTGTATCCAGGATGCTTATCGTGTCGGTGTATTGTATATAGGGGCTGTTGGGGCGCGTATCCAGGATGCTTATCGTGTCGGTATATTGTATATAGGGGCTGTTGGGGCGTGTATCCAGGATACTTATCGTGCCGGGATATTGTATATAGGGGCTGTTGGGGCGCATATTGATACATACTTATTGTGTCGAAATATTACCTGGAACTGAAATTTCACATGTAGTTGAAGACTAGGAAAGGATTGAATGAAATGAAATTTGATTGTGCAATCGGTATGCATAAATCTAATTTAAAATACTTAAGAAAATAGTTTTTTTCTATATTCTGAAGCGAGAGTCAAATGTGAGTCCTATCAGTGATGTAAAATGTGGGTTGGAAGTGGTCTTTCATCAATTAGAATACATAAGCATTATTATTGTTAACGGGATTCAAGATTATTGTTAACGGGATTCAGGTTAGCCGGATTATAAAATTTTGAACATTTTTAGGCCCTGCAATGTCTGGGTAGCCTCATAGTACATAATATAATGACGAAGAAATAATTGATTGCTACGGTGGTTCTAACGCCGTTAATTCAACATCACTTGTGCGAGTGTTCAACTGGTTGATAGAATGGTGGAGAAATCAAAACTTTGTGCACCGATCTGGCCACAGATGGTCTGATCTTGCTTCAGGCTAACTGATTTTGTCAAAGGTTGACCTATTTTGCCGCAGATGGACTGATCTTGCCACAGATGGACTGATCTTGTCACAGGTGGACTTGTCAAGCGCAGATCGCAACGTGCTGACCCAGCAAATATTTCTGTCCCAGAGAGCGCTGGGACAGAAATCGTTTCTCGAAAATCGGCTATGCCATTTTTACCGCGGAACTTAGTCAAGATTTAATGATCAGCAACAATTTGAGCAATAGAACGTATTTTGTTGACTGCAAAAATTATTGATAATCATTTCCTGTTGATTTTTTTAACATAGGTAATCCTATCTCTAAAGTCCAAAGCAACTAAAAAAATTCTCACTGCACGCAACTGCACAACAAATACTTTCAGGGCCGAGCGACTGCGGACCGACGCTCCTCCGTGCGAGTGCACTTGAATTGTCCCGAAATTCCCGTAAAATTCTAATTCCTTTCCATGCGTGAAACGTGATCTCTACGGACGCAGGAACAGGACTCTGAAAAATGCAAGGTCCGCAAGAAGTCTGCTTCATTGCCCGGCCATTTATGAACTTTGCTTCAACAAAATCTGCCTTGGAAGCTCTGCTTGAGCTCATTTGGTTTACAAAGCGAGCTCGTGTATTTAGGTTCACTGGTTTCACGAGGCCTTTGCGAGAACTTGCTAACTGACGCACTGTACATGAAATCAAACGAAAAACTAATTTTTGCAATTCTTCTATGTATTGTGGATTGAAACTTTCATAAAATGAGCATTTGAGACCTAATTTATTAGATTTATGATATTTATAATTTACGCAAGGTAATAAGATGAAAGTTTGAAATTTTTGTTAAAATTATAGAAGATGAACATCCATGGAACATTTGTAGAGAAGATTGCACAAGCAGTGTGGCTCTCCTAAATACTCTTTCTTTAGGCAGAATCTCTGCCGGCGCAGCAATTTCCAAGCAAGCTCATTTAATTGCCGCATAAAAGCGCAAATTTTGATTACGCCGTAGATTAAACCCGCTTTAAATTTAACCGGAGCTCTCGAGTTCTTATCGAGTCTCATAACTGTAATCGGCCACCGGCGATAATTGGAATAATTTATCAGAATCTGGAATGTGTGAGTGCAGAAAAATATGAAAAAACTGTTTTTAGAAATGATTTTTTTCAGCTGCAAATCTTGATAGGAATATGTTAGATTAATATTTAAGTCATGTTATAAAAAACTTGCCATTCGGTTGTATTCGCAGAATATACTAAGCGCCTGAAGCAATTCAACTGTTGAGTATTTTATCAGTCCCAAAAAGCATTTTAAAATGAAAATTCTATTATTTTATTGTTATGCCGATACGCAAAAGGAATTACAAATACAGTTATTGACACCTACAATGTCGACGCCCAGTTAATAAAATACATTCATTGGCCTTTAATCGAACTTGCATCAAAGTCAACTTCTGTTGAAGCTACATTCCAATGTTCAGGTAACAATAAAAAAGGACAGAAGCTTCACAGTGTAATCAATTTCATCCAAAATTGATTGTCCCGAACCATGAATAAATTGACCCGAATTCAATTCATATCATATCGAAATTCAGTTGACTTTGGAAACGCACAACAAACCAATTCTTCCTCAGATGAAAATTTTATGCAGTGCAATCGGTAGCTGAGCATTGATCGTCCAATGGCCGCCGGTATTGCTCTCAAAATTTTATTACTGGAATAGGATCCTGCCTCCATTCAAGCTAAAAATAGAATAATTTATTTCAGTGGCTTAACTTCACGCTAACACGCAAAAAATTTAACTGAAAATATTGCACACCTAACCAATTTACCCGACCAGACGCGAACATATACATAACCTGGTTTATAGGACCGTCGCAGGCTTTACCTTAATTGTTTTTCAAGGTATTGACTGTAAGCAAATTAACATGCTCACAAATACATGCTATTCATCCATTATTTAGTCAATATTTGTGGCTACATGAAACTCAGTTGATCTAAAAAGGGAGTTTGATTCCATTGTCCAAAAATTATGTTAATTTTCATTTAGTTCGTGCAGAAATTGATTATCTGTGAAATTCTATTACCATTTAAGACTTAATATGTATTGTAGATGTTTCTCTACTGCCTAACAAACAAACTTCTGATTAGCGCCGAAGATTATTTCTGTAGTAATCGGAATGGAGACTCGGTAAAAACATGCAGTAAGTAAGTACGGGCTTCTGAACCATGTATCTATCGCCTTGTTCTTTTCTTATTTGCCACAAGCGGTACTGCAACGCCGTACTCGTGAGGTGGCTGCTGGATAAACAACTTCGATGGAAGGTAAAATCTCGATACGTGTTTGCCTAAGACAAATGGCACCTGATCCATGTCGAAGTACGTGCAATTGGTTATGGTGAGAAATCTAAATGTTTTCGAGACCAACTCGTTTGTATTTGATCATTAAACATTGTGTATTTCTTGGAACAAGACCAGCTGGTATGAAACCCAGCAATCAGAAATATGGGAAAATTTCCGGTACTTTAATTACTTTTAATTGTTACCTGAAACATTGAAAGGACACGCATGCATGCTAATTCGGCATCGTCTGGTTGTACGAGGACGAGTGAACACTTGTAGACAGTTCGTCGTAAAAAATTATTCAAAAAATATAACTCAGTACTCACTGCAGTGAGTGACAGAGAGCGCATTTTCTCGTCGACGAAAACTTGAGGTCACGGACAGACGGACGGACAGACAGACAGACAGACAGACGGACATGGCGAGCACAATAGTGCATTATTTCATAAACGAGAAAATGCGCTAAAAACTTGTAGGAATATTTCTGGAGTGGAATCATCTTTTCGCGAAGAATGTGCGCATCGTGAACGTAAGGGGGAGCGGCATAAGTCCTGGGTATGCGAATGATCTATCCTTTAATGGCTCAGCAGTCGCGGGTCGGTGAGCCTGCAAGCAAAAATAGAGCAGCATCCAGAGAAAGCAATCGACTGCCTGTAGCTCGCACGAAACTCACAATTTGCTTTGGCGGTCGAACAAAATTGCAAATTCGTTTAGCTGGTCGCACGAAACTCACAATCGTTTTTGGTGGAAGCGAGATAACACTAACTTTATTCAATTATTGAATAATGTGAGGTCTACCTTGACAGACCTGTCTTTATTGAAGACCAATATTAGAGATTGCATAAGATGGCAAAGCCCTCTACAAATAACCAACGAAAGGTGTACCATTACAAACCATTACTTTATTATAGCTATATTGACTAATGTTATGTGTACCATGACTTTCTTGTCTATATTGATGGCCCAGTAGAGATTTATTTACATAAGATACCACAGGCACTACATAAATAATTAATGCAGGTTCTACTTTATTGATATTATATGGACAAATATGAGTTATGCTATGACTAACCTGTCTTTATTGAGGACCCAGTAGAGCTGTGTGGTGCCGTTCTCGCTGATGCCGGGGATGGTGACATTATTGATGACAGGGACGCGCATGTTGGGGTGCGTCTTCAGGCAGAACGACAGGATCGACACGCAGATGAAGAACACCGAGATCATCGAGATGGTCTGCAAGGGATGGTTGAATTAAGGTCACCGAGTGATCATCGAGATGGTCTGCAAGGGATGGTTGAATTAAGGTCACCGAGTGATCATCGAGATGGTCTGCAAGGGGTGGTTGAATTAAGGTCACAGAGTGATCATCGAGATGGTCTGCAAGGGGTGGTTGAATTAAGGTCACCGCGTGATCGTCGAGATGGTCTGCATGGCGTGGTTAAATGATATAATTCGAGCATCGCGAGCAAGCTTTCCAGGCAGGATGAAGGCTCGGGTAAGGACGAGCATCGCGAGCAAACTTTCCAGGCAGGATGAAGGCCTCTGGTACATAGAGGCGGACTGGAATCAAGAAGCTATCTGTGGAGCGCAGCTGCAGCGGCCGTCGCGTAGATTGCTCTCGAGTCATTCTAAAGGCAGCACGTTTAGAGAGCGAGACTTCTACAGTGAAGGAAGCTACAGTTCCTGATAAAAAAAAGAGAAATCGACTTTGAAGCATGACAACACCGACTCTCTCTCAGCCGCCGCCGAAAGGCAGAGAAATACACCGCGCCGCTTGTCGCGCTTTCGCCGCTTCAAAGAAGAGGTAGAAAGAATACTCGCGTGCAGTGAAGAAGGAAATTTCTAAACGGCTTTACGCTGCACTGAGCAAAACACCTACCCACCGACACCGAGCAAAAAATCCAGCGGCTTTGTGGAGCTCTAGAGTGCCGTTCAAGGATTTCTGTGGCTTATCATAGCAGAGTTTCCCTAAATAAACAAGACTGCAGTGAATGGCTGAAGGTCGGCCACTGATACTGCGGCGATAATATAGCACAGTGCAAGTTTAAACCACGTGTAAAGCTCAGTTCTACAGTTGAACAATGGGAACTCATTGGAATATTCTGAGATGACGAAACGCCGCGCGCTATTTGGTCCCAGCAATGTATGCATGGAAAATGAAGAGTGAAATGATGATACATCAATTCTTGCGCGGGGACGTAGGCATTCGGTGGGTCTCTTTTCTGATACTATGAGAGGTCAAACTGATATTTTGTGAGGATTGCAACAGGATATAAAAAATTAGATTATCGCCTTCATCAAAACAGATCAACACCGCCTACATAAAAAAATATAACTCAGTACTCACTGCAGTGAGTGACAGAAAGCGCGTTTTCTCGTCTACGAAAACATGGAGTCACGGACGGACAGACAGACGGACAGACAGACGGACAGACAGACGGACAGACGGACGGACAGACGGACATGGCGAGCACAATAGTGCATTTTTTCATAAATGAGAAAATGCGCTAAAAACAGTTGTATTGAAATAACAGATCAAACAGCAGAATGAACGGCAGTAGACAACGAGCCTTCTGCTTTCATACAAGGCGACAAAGGCTTTAGCCTGAACGTTGGTTCCATTAACTGCCTGAATTGTTAAAATGATCTAAATTATAATAGTATGTAGAACATTCACATGTAGAATGTTGTTGCCAAGGAGGCATATCACTGCGTTTGACCCATGTCTTTCTGCGCTTGACCCATGTCTGCGCTTCAGACATGTCTGCGCTTAAGACATGTCTGCGCTTGACCCATGTCTGCGCTTCAGACATGTCTGCGCTTAAGACATGTCTGCGCTTGAGACATGTCTGCGCTTGAGACATGTCTGCACTTGAGACATGTCTGCGCTTGAGACATGTCTGCGCTTCAGACATGTCTGCGCTTGAGACATGCTGCGCCTGACGCATGTCTGCGCTTAACGCATGTCTGCGCTTGAGACATTGAGCGTCACGAGAAATATTCAGTGCTGAGTGATTGTAAAAGCGTGAATAAGCGACGCTGAAAGTTGGGCCTGGTTGTTTTACAAGCAAATCCTTGTTTGCTGAGATTAAATTTTAAAAAGCTGATTTTGAAGGATTGTTCGACTCGAAATTTCAAAGCACTTGTGTAATCCAGTGTGATTTTCTTGTAATTGCATCCATTGTTTAATAAATTGCAGAAATTGTAAAAAAGTTAAATTTAGAAACCTATTTGTAAAAAAGTAGTTAAAAGTAATAAATACATTAATAAGTTCAAATCATTTTCTAACTTATGCCGATAAATAGTTGTTTGCATATTGTATTGTATAAATAATAACAGTTGTATGTGTGTTTATTTCTGTAACTCGAACACTGATTTTAATTATTTTTATCTAGATTAAAAGGTTAGGTTGTAAGTGGTTGCTAATTGTTCGATATTTCCTATTCATTTATTCATACAATGATATCTTTTAAAGTGCAAAATGTGCACACAAGTGGTACAAATAAACTTCAACTCAATCACAAAATAATTCAAAGTTTCACAAGCTTAGCAACAAAGTTAACGAAACTGATTCATTCAAGTTACTGAGGTGAAAATAAATTTCTGTTGAATCATGCATTTTTTTAAAATCTATAACTGTTTGGTCTCGTTCGGAATATGGCTGAAAGCTAAAACCCATCGTTTTAATCTGTTAAGGTCCGGCCACTGCTTGCATTTATCCAACAAATAAATATCTATGCAAAATCTCTGAGCGTCACTTGAAACTTGCGCTTACTAATTGCTCAATGGGATTCAAGTTCTGGTTTAAGAGATGGACAAGTTCCAGGAGAGTTTTCCGTCGTTCAAGAGTCAAGCGAACCCGCGCCACGACCGAGGCGCTGCAGCGACTAAACATAGCAATAGTTAGGCAGGAATCATCCCGACGAACGAATGACTCGATAATCTATGCAGTTTATGAATAAATATCATAAATTATAAATAACCAAATTACTGATCACTCATAAGAAAGATACCAAAATTACTTTGTACTTGTGGTTGAAGAATACCTAAAGATTTACAATTGAGCGATGCGAATGCATTATAGTGATTATACCGACATTTTTGAGAATCTAAATCTACACAAAGTTTTCTACAAAAATTTGCTCTCTCTGCCAGACGGAGTCCCACCTTAGCGTAGCAGGAAGAGTTGGGCTCGTCAAAGAGCGACCAGATCTTAGGTTTAGTTCGCTGCCACAGAGTGCTGCTGCCGCTCAGGTAGGCTTCCTCGAAGCCAAACTTGCGTGCCATCTCTTCTTCGGACGGCCGCTCGTTATCGATGTCCAACTTGTCCAGGATGGCCAGAGTCGCCTGATTTAGTCCAGAAAACATACATTAATGAATTAATTCGATTGAAAATATCAGCTTGACGCATTACTGCACCTCCCATTGACAAATCTTCAATCCAGAAACATACAAAAATACATTAATGCATGATAAATGCATGAGGGTGAAGCAACTCCTCAGTTCTTATTAACTTACCAAACTATTGCCCCTTGAAAATAATTACGAGTTCGTAACTCCGTCAGCCATTCACGACTGCTTCTAAAGCTACACCCACCAATCACAGGCGAAAAATCAGACGCTAGGTGAATTTAGGACGTTACCTGAACTAAGTGAGTTTAGACCGCTACGTATAACCTTATGACCTTATGATGAGTTCGGGACTTCCTAGTCCCCGGTCACGCTGATGCGCCGCCTTCTTCGTCCTCCGTCTCCGAGTCGTCGCTAGGCAGGTCACCCCGCCCTCGGGTCCAGGATGTAACGTTGGACGTGTCCCGTATATTTGCCCTCCTTTAGGCCAGCTGATGCAAGATGCTGTTGCTCGTCACTTGCTGAAAATAGTTTCCCATTACTGGACAATCCGGGATCTTCTTCAGAAACTTATCCGGTTGTCTCTTGAAAGTCACAATGGTAAACTCCCCTCTTCTCAGCTCCTTTGGTAGGCGTTAAACAGTCTTGGCCCTAACACGGACAGTGACCCCTCACGAAGAGTCTGTACTCTGGCCGCGGCTCGGTTATTAAATGGGGAAATCCTGCACAGCCTCCCCCTCCTTTCGTTGCAATGTGTCACTATTCTGTAGGTCTCACATTCAAAGTTGGGAGCCAGTCCGGTTATCATCTTCCAAGTGTACAGTATAATATACTTCTCTCTTCTCCTCTCCAGTGAGTACAGTTCTAGGTGTTCAGCCTTTCCTAGTAGTTCAGGTCCAGCTCCCTCATGCCGCTGATCCTGAACGCGAAGGTCCGCTGCACTGCCTCCAGCTTCCGCACCGCACCCGCCTTGAGTGGCGACCAAAGCTGACAGCAGTATTCAAGATTGGGGAGCACGAGGGCTCTGAAGAGTGTAATCATTGGCGCTGCTTCTCTTGTTCGAAATGTCCGCCAGATCTACTCCATCCTTTGTCTCCCTCGAGCAACTAGTTCCTCGATGTGGTCATCGAACGTGGCTTCAGTACACATCAACACTCCGAGACCTCGAACTAGTCGCTTCTCTTCAATTTGTGTGCCATCTGATGCCAAGTAGCGATGTGGCATCCCTATATCTGTGCCAACTCTTTTTATCATTACTTCGATTTTGGTGCCGTAGAATTGCATGTTATACACTAGGGCCCAATCATAGATTGTCGACAAGTCTTACTTGCCCAGTCATATATATTTAAACCACTGCGTGTACCTAGGCCGCTATGTGTACTTAGAGCACTGCGTGTACTTAGATCTCTACGCGCATTTAGGCCGCTACATGAACTAGGCCTCTACGTGTACTTAAGCGAGTGATAGTACAGCCCCAGGAAGTCGGCCAGAATCTGCTGGAAATTTACGCCGCGCGACAAGGAGAAGTTCCGCTTTAAGCCGTCGCGTTCCCGCGAAACCAAACTCGGTGAACTCGACGTGCTTGCATTCGGTCATTTATCTTATCATATTTTAATCATTCAGTGGGTATTATCTCACGGGTTAATTTAATACACTATTTGTAGTTTTCATCTTAAGCTAAGCTACAACAAATTTAGGTGACTAATTGAGAATATTTTCAGTTCATTATCCCGGAAAATAATTTAGGAATAATGCTTTGAATATGAACACTAAAGTTTTGAAATACAGTCACGCGAGAGTCGCTGTCTCGACCTGAATGCCCGTGCGTTGCTGAATCAATTGTACCTCTTTAATTCATATTGAATACAGTTCTGTAATAGATGGATGTCAGATCATAATTTGTGCTCAATGCTGCCAAACGTGTTTAGTATGGTAATTATTCATTTGCATATCGTTCTGCACCCCGGTACGCAATCACCTGTCCATCGTAATGAAGCTCAGGCAGCAACAATCAAGCACAAGGCAATCTCGTTCCTTGATTGTTCTCAGGAGCGCTGCTGGCTGCCTGCATGCAGAGCCTCCTCAACTTGCTTCAGTGATAGCTGTTAGCAGGTGCGTGGCTATCGTACTGCTGCATTTAAACTACGCTGCAAACAAACAGCTCTCAGTGAGCACGCACCGTGATGCTGCGCGCTGCACTGTCAGCAAACAGCTCTCAGTGAGCTCGCACCGTGATGCTGCGCGCTGCACTGTCAGCAAACAGCTCTCAGTGAGCTCGTACCGTAATGCTGCACGCTGCACTGTCAGCAAACAGCCCTCAGTGAGCACGCACCTTAATGCTGCGCGCTGCACTGCCAGCAAACAGCCCTCAGTGAGCTCGCACCGTAATGCTGCACGCTGCACTGCCAGCAAACAGCCCTTGGTAATCTTGGTACTTGTTTGGGACATAGCAGTCCCAGGCCACGATGGATCGCCGCCTCTGATTATCGTTCATCCGCCCTCATTTGGGCCACCTGATGCACGATGCTGTTGCTTGCTTCTCGCCGCTGGTAGTGTTGCAGAGGAGGTCGATCTGGGATTGTGCCCAGGAACACACCGCACTGCAAGCAAACAGCTCTCAGTGAGCTCCTTGTTAGCTATACTTGACATCTCCGCTGTATCTGTCCTAGTAGAGGGTAAACTCTTCTAATAATAGTAGAGGGTCAACTCTCCTACTACAAATATCCCAGAATGATTCGGTAAATGGCTTGTGTCTGTCGTAGATCGTATCTTGAAATTAACTTTTCATGTACAAATTAAGAAAAATATTAACACATCGAGGTATGTGGCAGTAATTATAACAGCAAAAAAAAAAAACAAGCTGAACAGCAAAACAAACAACTTGAAGGAACTCCGCCAAGCGAATACCTGCAGTAAAGATTGCACGGCAATGTACAAGTTAGATAATACAAAGAGCCTGCCTCGCTAAAGTTTTACAGCTGCCAGTAGCGGCCCACAAGCCTCTATATCAACTTCTGGTGCATCGTGCATTGTCTTAGGCCGCTACATGTTCTAGGCCGCTACATGTACTAGGCCGCTACGTGTATATAGGCCGCCACAAGGACACTTATAAAGCACATCATGTGGAGAATATGGGCACCTTGTGCATTCGTAAGTTGCATTATCCGGGACACGGGATACTCTTGAACCTGATATTCTCTTTACCCCGGAATTTGGTATGACTTTTCCGTGTAATAAGTTACCCCCGGAACACGGCAATGATGTCACACCTCACATCTCCTGATGTCCGGCCAAATGGAAGTCTCTTCTTAGTCGATTTTCCTGCTGCGACAGCGAAGCCTCCTGGGACAACCAGAGGCGCAATCTGCCCCTTCGCTCAATGTGCTCAGCACTATATGCTTCTTTGCTCAACATGCTTAGCATTATATGTTATTTTGCTCGATGTGCTTAGCACAATCCAGTCCCTCATTCCATGTACTCTTGTCTGATGCTATGCTCGTCTTGCTGAGCATAATCTGCTCAATCGCTCGTTGTGCTCAGCACAAATCGTCCTCGCCTCCGTGAGATCCGAGCAGATGCTCGATCCGGTGAAAAAAACACCGAGCTTAATCTACTCGACTAAAAAAATCTATTTCTCCTAGAGTGGAGCAGTACCGGAAATTCCTTTTGGCTGAAAATTTAACCTTTCAATCTGTACATAATTCACTTATATTTGTTTTAAAATTTATTTTTTACAATACGAAATGTTTAGAAAAATCATTTTGAGCCTTTGTCATAACATCCAAAAAATATCTTAAAGGACCAACTAGCGAGTTTTAATTTGCCATTATAAAATTCATGGTTTGTTTTATGTTTAAGACAAGTGTTATTTCATGGCTAATGCATTCAACTTTTACAAATGTAGTTAGTAATTTGCATTTCAAATAATTCAATTTTTTATTAGTTTCTTGTCTTTTGAAGTCATTGAGCAAACAGAGATTAACCATGCTGCTAAATAAGATAATATTTCTGTCTAAATCTCCAATTTTTATTTTAAATATCGCAATAGTATTTCAAACCCGGCCACAATCTCTCCAAAATTTCTTCGGGCGCGGAAAAATGATTTCGCCTGCCTCCGGCAATTCACTCCTGAGCTTCCTTTTTTTAATATCAAGTATGGGATTTTTTAATGATTTTGAAAAGGCTGGAGGGCTTTAGCTCGTTTTTCTAACCTGGTTCCGGCATGAATGCGTGCGCTTGATGGCCGTGCCTAATTGAACTTGAGGGCCACCTTAAGGGAGGCGCTCGAAAAATTATTGTACTTTGTTATTAGATTTATAAAGGTGTAAAATTTTTTCATCGAAGCCCATTAAATATGAAATAAATACTAGCAATAATAAAAAATTCACTTGCTGGTCGACATAATCTAACGTATTTTATTGAAAATCTAGCCCCAGTATTTTAGCGAATTGAGTTTCTCGAGGAACTTAATTTTAGCCCGGAAGCCAGAGCTTATGTTGTGTACACAACTTAGATGCAACTACGAGCTTTGTTTCCTGCAACAGTTGCCGTACTTGAGTCGCTTCATGAAAGTTTCTCCACGTTTAACTCACTCAAACCTTTGAACTTGAGACGACTAAAGTTTAAGTGAGCATGTCAAGCTTCAGCTCTACTGCCCGGACACAAAGACAAGTCCTGGAAAAAGTTTGGAAAACTTGACGCAAGACCTGGTAGTCCATCTCTTGTTCTTCTTGTGTACACAATTTAACTTGTATTGATTCCATAAATAATAAACTGTGAATAATTAGTGCCACTATTTTTCATGGTTGCTGCTACGTAGATTCAACTACCCGCTAAAATATTTCTTTCCGTCATGATAGAGAAGCGTCGATAAAGCGAATGTTTAATATATACACGAAATATCTGTTACATATAACAATACTAAACTGATCAAAATAAATGTATGCAATACTTGATAAGATAGCTGTTATATATCCTGGATATTGCTTGCTTGGATAAATATCCAGATATGGAAATTATTGTCCAAAAATTGACCTTTAGAGTCGCTTATTTAGTGAAAGAATCATAAGACTCGTTGAATTTCATTTTAAATGAAAGTATTTTTCCTCCTCGGCTGCGTCGTCGATTTCCTGTGAATCCTACTTCCCGAAATGGTCAATGAAAAATCTACTTAACGTACATGATATACAATGCAATATAGCATGCAGAATGGGTATGGTAGCATTTCCTCTGGACTTGAATGGTGCCACGATTCTGCTCCATGGAGTCACGCAAGGCAGTCAAGCAATAACAATATTTCAACAATGATAACTATAGCAACTGTATTTGCTCATGCACAACAACAATATCTTTCTCAAAGCAATAATAATTTGTGATCATCACTCTCACGTAGAGCCTCGATCCCCGAGTACCACGCAGAGTCGCTCTCCCACATATAAAACCCTCTGGAGCACCGCACAGCTCATACATTCTGCTCACTGCGCGTTCTCATGAGAATTTCAAGCTCACACCCACATTTACTCCGCGCTTTTCAATAGTACTGCATTTTAACATCATCCGAGCGGTCAATCTCCGTTATTCACATATAGAGCCTCAGATCGGAGCAGCGGCCGCTCATTCATCATCCCTCCGTGTCGTTGAAGCTGTCCACAAAAATGGCCTCCACTCCAGCGTTTCATATAAATTTCGTCAAGATTTTGTCCCAGCGTTGCATCAATCTTGACTAAGAGAAGTGAAAAAATGTTTCCCGCTCCAGTACCTTTGCTGGTATCGGCATAAGCAAATCATTAATCAGAGTGGCGCTGCATCTTTCGAGTCATGTTTTAGTCAACGAGTCTCGAGTCTTTCAACAGCCATTGATCATAATTGAACTGTCCCCTCTCGAATCATTTTTGAATCGCTGCTCTTCGATAAATATTGGATAGTTTGAGTCTTTCAGCCTCGATTAATTTTTTTGTCAATACTTCTCGACAGCTTTCCATCATGTCAGAGCTCTGCTATTTTAGCCGTTTTTAAGTCCTGGAAAAAATAAATAAATAAAAAATAAAAAAACCCTCCATTTATCCAAAGTGCGTCATCCAGTCATTTTTTGATGCTAAAAGTGAATTGTAGCCGAGACCAGTAGGAAGCATTTCTTCTTATGAGACATTGCCGAACAATTCGCCACTCGACGACGTTACAGTCCCATTGTTTCATCTTCGGGCAGTCAAAAAAAAATCCTGACAATGTAAATGCATTGTCTTTGTTGCAATTGTGCATTGGCAAATATTGCCTTTGTTGTAAGAATCTCTGCTGAAAAAACGTCATAGTGGATAAATGATAGAAGTTACAAGGAACTCGCCAACACAGTAAATTGTTTTGTAAAATCACCAAATCAATTCAATTGTTTTTTTTTTGTATTACTGAAATAAAGGCTGGATATCCTAAGACTCATAACAATTTGTTTTCAGTGTGATCTCATAGCTCGTTCGCGAACGTCATTAAGGCTGGGTGGCCTTTGGTTACCGTATACGTACAGTACTAGGATTGGAGCAGTGAGTTGTGGGTTCGATCCCAGGTACCTGTGACAGTTCAGGTAAAAGTCGGTAAGGTGGCTGTCTCGGTTAAAAACAGCAAGATTGGAGCTGCGAGTTGCGGGTTAGAAACCCCAGCTAACAGTAAGAATTATGCGTTGTCTGAAATCGGCAAAAGGTCAGATTTGGATTACCTAAGCTGACACCACTGTTAATATTATTAAAGCGCAATAAGATATAAGTAGACACCTTCATGTGGGCAATGAAAGAGAAATAAAATAGCAAAATAATTCGAACAATTTTAAATCGAGTGTTATTCCTGATCCGCTTTCGTTCTCGTTGACAATTCTAGCGGACGCGCCTCTCGACGCAGCGTATTTTACGGAAAACAAAACGACTAAAGTCGGTCTAGTGAAGTCCGCCTGAGTGGCGCAGCACGACGGCTTTCCTCGACCTAAATCCCCTTGCCGACAATTCAGCTCGAGAAGCCAGGGTCGTAATTGAACAAAATTCGAGACTTAATTCCCATTGCAAAGTTTTACAATGTTAGTGTTGAGATACAATCACCGGTTTAAAGTGTTAAACGTAGAACTTACAGTGAATGTCCTCCGAGTTCAGTTCTGATTTTCTTCAGATTTATTACTGTAAATAAGAATGTACCATCCAATTAATTATCAAATTTGAAACGTTCCCCTTGCATATTGCACATCAGAAATCCGCCATAAATTAAATTTTTTGTATATAACATCAGATATATTGACTATTTTGCTTAGATCGATAAGGCGTGACTCGCAGTAAATGTATGAGCTGCGTGATGCAGACTGGGTTATAGACTAAGGCGTTTGGTTGAGTTTAGTACGGAAAATTAATTTCATTCTTCCAGCGGAACTTTGCTTCTCAGTCCGACAACAGCACTCGCTGTAGAAGGAATTTGATGCGATCCATGTTTAATCTCCAGCCAAAATCTCCATCTCGGGAAACTTTAATCAGATGCTCAAAATCTTCGAATAACCAAAATTATTTCATGACTTTAATCTTAGCAGGACACCTGAAGTTCTTTCTTGGTGTTAACCCTGATATGCAATTCACAAAATTTGTTTACAAATTAGGAGTGAATTTATTACACGATAATTATGCTTGAGAATCTGTCAATTATTGCTCATTGGCAGAACGATCAACTGATGGTCGAAGACCAGGCTGAAATTGTCCTCAAATGAACCGCGTTGTATCAACCGTTGAACGCGTACGTGCAAGCTGATGAATAATTTCGATGAACGAGTTTCAGGACCGGACAAATGGTTTCTAGGTTTTATTTTATAAGTAACAATCTATTTCCAATGTTGGTCATCCAGCAGCACTGACCTGAGTGTCCCTATGGACGATGTAGGTCATCCAGCAGCACTGACCTGCGTGTCCCTATGGACGGTGTAGGTCATCCAGCAGCACTGACCTGCGTGTCCCTATGGACGGTGTAGGTCATCCAGCAGCAAGGCTCCACTTGGTTCGAGTCCAGACCCCAGAACTCGAGCTCCTCCTCGAACAGCGGCCCACACACGTTCGTGGGGTAGTGCAGCTTGCCCGTCCTGCGCATGCGCAAAGGTACGAGTATCATTTATTTGATAATTAAATTTTAAAGATTCTTTCGTTCTTTGAGACATTGGCTTAAACTTCCTACCTATGAAAAAATCGAACAGAGGAAAGGTTGCAACTTGCACGTCCTACACAAGTGCATTGCTAAGAGAACTGTTTATACGCTACTTAAATTTCTATGATTGCTTTTTTGAGATGTTGACTCAAATTTTCAAATTTATAAATAATAAAAAGCGTGACATGTTGCAACCTGCCTGCCCTGCATACAAAGAAAGTTACGAAAATTATTTGTGCGGTGAATTGTCACGATTCTTTCTGAACTTTCAGACGCTGGCTCAGGTATCATAAAATGAACAAAAAATGTACAGGTGCCTGAGATAAAAAATATAAGAAATAATTACAGAAATCAGATTAAATAGACTAGTGTATGTCAGATCACACGTAAATAGCGTTCAAATGTGAAGTTCTTGGTATGTTAGCTACGTCGAGGGTCGTGACGCGTAATTGCGCCCACTTCGGCACTCTTCGCGTGCAGAAATACGTCAATTCGACATTCTAATATTAAATAAATGGCCGCTTAGGGCCAGCAAAGCGCAGATTTTGCTGATAGTTTAAATCTCGCGACAACATAGGAGCTTGTAGGAATTCTTAGCTCATTCATTCTTCACCATGTTTCAAACATCATAAGCTGATAGCAGTTGAAAAATCGATACTTGTTTTTATCGCAGTACATTGAACTACCAACATTCTTTTTTATATTTGAAAGTTGTTTTGAAACTTGAAGTTGCCTCCCATCTGACTTCGCCCACCATCAGCCATTTTATATAATTTTACAGGTGCTGAGAAGCTCGCCAATGAACGTCCTCGAGGTTTCTGCCCACTGCCTTCCGCTCGAGGCTTGAAGTGCAGCTGCAGGAGCGGTAAACTTGGCCAAGCCTACTCATGCCATACTCTCAGGAAATTCTCAGGCAATTAATGTCTTAAAGGCAATTCTGACTAGTCGCTGATTGCAATCGAATGGCCAAGCAGATCCAGAATAACCTTAACCCAACGATAGCGAGTCTGTCGCAGAGTGTGAAGCATACCTCAAATTTGGTTATGAAAACGTAGCCTAAACGGAAAACCTGTATACATAGTCCCGAAACCAGCAGGCAATGAGTCCAAATTTGCACTTATTTTACAAGAAAATCTCGCTATACTAAATTCTGAGCATCTGCCTACTGGCATGTAAGTGCTGGAACTTGTCACAAAGTTTCCTTATGGAGCTGCCATGCGCCGAGAACTTCGAGGCCCACAATAACGAACAATGCAGCGGGTCACACAACGAGCCGTGAGCGGTGCTGTGACATGGACTGCTATGTATTGTACGATATACGATCTTAATATCATCAATGAGCCGTGGAGCCGCTGAGATGTCAAAACGTGTTTTGTACAATACACGAACTAAATATCATAATTTTTACCTTATTCCTACGAGTTTTAACAGTGAAAGAATATCAGCGAGTACTGCTCGCTTGATTGATGATGAACAATTGACGTAATATTCAATTATTCCCTCGATAGTGGCAAGTTGTGAATCGTTGAAATATATAAGTTGAGGTCGTGACCTCATTATTTACAATTGTCGAATTGCTTGGGATTAATTACGAGAGTTGCGTAGCCGTGTATTCATTAAATCGACTCATTAAAACACAGATATTCGTTCTAACAGATCCTGCCAAACATTTGACCTAAAATAATAAGATCTCACATTTTTTTGGTCAAAGAAGCCATCTAAATTTTCGCTTTAATTGTAGCTGCTGCCTTATGTTGTCGCTTGTCTTAGAACAGTTCAGCATTATTTCTAACCTCGTGTCCAAGGACAGCTTAACCTTTAAGGGCGCAAGCAGGCGTGCCTGCGCTCGTAACGGACTCTTGCCGCGGATGTGGGCTACCTAAACTTCAGTTAATGGACAATCTTAACTTATTCCTCAGTTAAGTAATTTCTAATGTTTCTAGTTAAGTAATTAAGATGAATATTCTGCAGTTAAGTAATTTCTTCTACTGTAACTTTGTAACAAGAATCTCTTTATAACACCAAACAGAATACCTATCTGAGATTTTTCATATCAAAATACCTATAAGTGAATACTCACCAGAGAATCCATATAAATTTGTAGTAAAAACCTTTGCCGAGCATCTCCAAAAAAACCACAGCCTCCTGCTCGCCCAACCTTTCTAGGCAACTGACTCAAGGAACCGCTGCCAACTCCCAACATTTAAAACTTGAAATTCACCGAAAGCATTAAAAAATCTACCAATAACTTCTTGTACATTTCATGTTCAAACACAGTTCTTCATTCAACCCCAAAAGGTCGTTTTCACTTTTTGTTCTTTCAAACCTACATCATCGTTCTAATCAAGTTCTTCGTTCAGACCCATTTTTTCGCTCAAGTCCACTTTTTTGTTCTAATATAGTTTTTCGTTGTAACCCATTTCTTCGCCCAAACCCACTTTTTTGTTCTAATACAGTTCTTCGTTCTAATCTATTTCTTCGTTCAAACCCATTTCATCATTCTAACCTAGTTCTTGGTCCTATAGACAATTCTTTCACCTAAACCCATTTCATAGTAAGAATTATGAACTTCTCATACCACTTATTTCCCCGGTGATCAGCTCCTTGGAACAGCTCTCGCCTGCTCCGTTGAAGGCTCATCCTTCCCTCACGGGGCGCTAGTCTACCTTGCAGCCTAATTAAAATGTGATCAAACACGCGAAGAATTAAGCCCGCACGTCAGCTTAGTATGGGACATGAGTACCGCTGGGGCCTTTGCTCCCTTCGTCCCCTTTGGATCGCTGGGTCCTTTGCCCCCCCCCCTTCCTTTAAGAGGAGAGTGGAGAACTTTGTACACTTAGAAGTGCAGAAAAATGGCAGTACTGTGCAGTGTGGTTCACCTTATGACCTTATGATGAGTTTAGGACTTCGTAGTCCACGGTCAAGCTGATGCTCCGCCTTCGTCGTCCTCTGTCTCTGAGTCGTCGCTAGGCAGGTCGGCACTTGAGCGTTTCAGAGGCAGAATTAATGTAGTTTGCTAATATGTAGTGACTCGGTGTTCGAGCACACTATGTAGCATAACTATTACTATAGAATTAGTAATGTAGCAGTATTGGCTATACATGACAGTGTTGCAACACGGTTCAGCACATTACGGTGTAGTAACACATTTCAATCTATTATTCATTACCAATTGTTCAATTGCCGAAGGCTCAATAATTAAACCCGCCCCTATAGGAAGCAAGGACTGCATTCCTCCAAGTTATTATGGTGATCGTAAGATCTCTGAGAACTTTATGAAGTTAACTTCAATCCAAAATTTATGAGACTACTTTAATCACATTTTTATTATACTCAGACTTTAAATTGGGCTGGAAGAAAAAAAAATTATCTAGCACCATTTGTCTGTCGTCAGGAATTGAGAGCAATAAAATGTGCCTTCGAATTTTAATTATTCTTAAAACAAAGCAATTCATCGTAAAATAATTGAGGAATACATTCACACGTGAATTCATCGATCAGATTTAAACATATTTCAAAATCCGACAAAATATAGCATTCAAAATGGGAGAATTTCACAGCCGCCGCGTTGTCATCACATCCCTTCTCAACAAATGATAACAAAGGAATAATCAATCAATAAATTAACATCTTAATTTGTGTGTTAAAGTGTTCATCCACCAAAAAATGTTTCATACTAAAAACTACACAAAAAATGATTAGAACGTCAGTTTACAAGTTTGAGCAAACCATGACGGCAATTGAAGTTGAGGCATAAGCCAGCCTAAGCCACACATGCAGGAGTCTTAACTCACTAAGCCTCGCCCTGGTGAGGCTCACTAAGCCTCTCCCCAGTGAGGCTTAATCGAGAGCCTCAGCACATAAGGTTAATTAAGAGTCATTGAGGGCTTCAGTCTCGTAAAGTATCTACTTTAATCCTCAATAATACTAATGTCGTAGGCACCTCATTTACAATATAATAATCATTTTGTGCAATATAGCTCATACGAGTGTTACAACACCACATTATATTCTTTAGCCCAACTAATAGGTTTGCTTTTTGCAATAATGCTTTTTACTAGACGTCAAATATATTGGCACTATTTGTTTGGAGCGTTTATTCCAATATGTATAATAGCAGCGTGTCAATACATGTATATGATTGGGGAATTTTCTCCATCATTAAATGTAGCGAGATTACTCTTAAACTAATCTACGGATTCTGGTCCAAAAATTCAAGTAGAAGCGCCGTCAACTAATTTTTGTCTCTTTAATTACTTAATGATTGAAACTCGACCTTTCATCCCATAACATTAGAATCCCTTAGCGATGACAAGAATCTGATCAAGTCAGTACAGTATTGAAGTACAGATCAAGTCAGTACAGTAGTATTGAAGATTAGTGTACTGACAACATTGTCAGTTAATTAAAATTTAATAGGAAAGTCATTGATGCATGATGAACGCAAATTATTCACTCATTGACAGATCAATAAAAATTTGAGATGAACAGGAATTATGCTAAAGAAGATTTCTCTCGAACAGTTGATGGAAATTCCACACAAAAATGAGTGTTAGTCGGACATTATGTCTTTATAATTTTGCATGCGTGCAACCAGTGTCTCATACGACGACCAGGTAAATTTTGCAATTTTGTGAAACTCCTCACAGATTCCTTCTATTCTGCCTATATATTTAAATATACCTAATACACTTGCATCTGGCTATGTTCTCAGACAGATATACGTCACGTCGCACACCAACGCAATGAATGTGTCCTCGAAAATCGACGTGTCAGGAATTACTACAAACATTCGATTTTATCAGCCTTGAGATGTCGTGTGCATTTACAATTTTTTTTGTCGCGTGCATTTACAATTTACAATACATTCGCTACAATACAAAACTGTCATTACTCATACTCATTATTATAGGATGCATCACATTATCATCGGAATATCGTTACTTCTTTACTAAAATTTCTCGTATGAATGGAATGGATACGAGAAGTTTTATGTAAATGGATGCTCTGAGCAAGAATTGAATTATTCATTTCGCTCATGAGGATATAATTTCAGTCTCTGATGATCGTTTTGCGAGGTTTCCTTGGCAATGTCAACAAATGCGACATTCGGGAGCAACAAGGTAAGCTCCGACGTGCGTCCCTGGCAGGGCTTTGTCGTCTAGCGAGGCAGCGAGGCGCAGCGCTAGGAGTCTTCTCGGTCATTTTATGCGAGCAAAAGCTCACTTCTCGTCCAGAAAGATGCCCCCATTGGCCATAAAGCGACTAGTTTCTGAGCTTGTGACGTGGTTCATGCCACAAAATAGGAGAGATCGTCGGCCGCGACATCCATTTGATCTTGCTTTGAACGACCCCGACTCTGATGGTGCAGAGGAACTTGCTCTTACTGTCAAGGCGCAGTTTTTCAAGGACTTTGGCTTCACAACTAACGTTATAAAGAAAGTTGATCTTCAGATAATTTTCATCGATAGTTTTAGAATGGATGTTTTGAATACTTTTGAATGTTTTGCATCAGATATATAATTATATGATTGCGTTGCAAGCCCCAAAGTAAAATCGACAAAATAAATAAAATTTAAGACTCGCCAATCATAGCAGGAATACGGATAAAAATTTATTTTAGCTGGTATTTTTTTTTGCTTTAGGATTATATTGAATTAAAAACTTTGAAATGGTCGCCCACGAAATAGTTTTAAAATCTCGTTCCATTTCAAGAATTTTGAAAAGTTGGGTGGTCGTTACTGACTCTAGCCAGCATTATACATGACCGTTTTAAAGACTCATTTCGTGGCAAATTTTGAAGGAGTTCGGAGGCCGTTACTTATCATCACACTTGATGCCGCGCGAAGTCTGGCGCTCGTTGCGCGACCTAACTTTTGTTTAGTAACTTCGCTCATTGGCAGAGCAATCGTTATCGTTGCAAGTTCTTCAGTCGCCCCATATACTGACTAAACTTCACTTTTTCTGGAACTTTAATAGGATAGCCGCTTCATAATGTTTCTTATATATATTTACTATCTATCACATCGCGCCAAGCATTATGCAACTTAATAAGAAAGTTTTCAGCGCATAATATTATTACATATGCTCCACATCAAATATATAGTCGTTTAAAAAGTTTAACTTCTGTTTCTTATAGGAAAATTTCTATAAAATTTAAATTAGTTGAGCTTTAATTCAAAATATATTATTATTCGACTCGAATTTCATCCAATGATGAACAGCAGATATGGAGAACGCTAGGTAGCGACTATTAAATTGCTGAACGGTTGGAACGACGACGCTCCGCGGCATCACGCTCAAAGACTTATAAAGGAAAGACGTTCAAACAAGACGTACAAAGAAGACGTACAAAGAAGACGCACAAAGGAAGGTATGAGGCGTTCTGTAGGTCGACTCATTGTTTTTAGAACGTCGCTCGTAATGAGACAGAGAGTGTCATGAGCTACTGCCTTGCAGCTTCCTCCAAGCCACCGCTTCTGCGGGGAAAATCAGCTAACGAACTTTGCTCGCACGAGTTCGGTGAGTTGAACCATAATAGCAGGACATATTTTCTCAACACTAACTGACTTTTGCGTGAACTGATTTGATCTCATTACCTGATATTCTAGTGAGACTCAGGGCGTTTTCAACTCATCAAGTTAGAAAAGATTTCTTGAATTGAAAATTTTGAGATAAAAAAAATTATTTATACTGTAGCACAAATAAAAATGTTTCCTACGTCATCAGTCATTAAAGTTAATCAAAAATACGCAGAAATTTAGTTTGTGCAACATTGCTTCATTTGAACTAACGACGAGGAGCCATTCAAGAAAATTAACTCTCATCAACTACAAAGAAGAGTATTCACATTTTAAAGTTATCAAACATTAATTTAAAAAATCTCAGTTTTCCTGTTAGTCAAAATTTACGGCGAGACTCGTGAATAATATTCCTTTGATCTCACTGAGGTCTGAGTCAGGCTCGCGGATCTTTCATGTTTCTACAAGTTGACAGTAGGCGATAAAATATATCATTTGAATTGATTTAAACAAATAAAGAGCTCAGAAAGTTTTAAGTGCGAGCACATAATAAGCAGGTCAGAAGAAAGTGATAAACAATAAAAAGCTTTTACAACAGACTAAAAATGTGTAATTTTTTAGGACGGTAGGAGAATTTGTATAAAAAAAGTGATGGAGAAAACACGTGATATATTAGCTAATTATTTGAATTTTTCTGAATATGATTCAAGAAGCTACTAAAATGAAAATTAATAAGACTGACGCTAATTAAAATTAAAAACAATTTCCAACATCGATGACAAAATTGTGTGAATTCTTTAATTTAGGACTTCAATAAGCACCGGACAGGATTTACGATCTAATGATCAAACTCAGGCCTTGAGAGCACCAATAAAAACGGCTATCGACTCGCTTATATGACCGTTGAGTGTACAATACACGATCAGAATATCTTAAATAATAATTAAAACCGTCATTAGTAAAATAAATAAAATAATTAACAAAATAAAAATAAAAATCACAATGGAAGCACAATTCACGACCTAAAGAAAAACAATGGGATAGTGATGTCGGTAATTATTGGATTGTGATGTAGCTCGCTAAAATTACTTATCATAGCACATGAAGGCAATAATGTGAATAATTACTACCAAAAATTACCTGTCGTAGTTGAGGACCGACCTCGGACCTACCTGTAGTAGTTGAGGACCGACCGCGGACCTACCTGTGTTGTGGATGAGAACCGACCGCGGACCTACCTGTAGCAGTTGAGAACCGACCTCGGACCTACCTGTAGCAGTTGAGAACCGACCTCGGACCTACCCATAGTAGTTGAGAACCGACCTCGGACCTACCCGTAGTAGTTGAGAACCGACCACGAGGGTTTGTTGGCAGTCGAGGGTTTGTTGGCAGTCGAGGGTTTGTTGACAGTCGAGGGTTGGTTGGCAGTCGAAGGTTTGTTTCATTCTCAGGTTCCCTCAAGAGCCGAACAAACGAGCGCAATCTTCCTTCAGTGTCACCCTCGGGAAATCTCTGGTTCTCTGGACCTCAATAGCTCCACAATTGAAACCATGGCTTACAAAAAAAATTTGGCGTCCTAGAAACACGTCCTATCAAAAACATCAACTTCTTCAGTCAAAAAGAAGTGAGGCTCAGAGTTCGGAAATATCAAGAGATATAAAAAGTGAAACATTGTAAGCATCATGACATTTTGTTGTTTTCGAAGTTGGACTAACCTACACGTGGTGAGCATAGTTACACAAATAAAACTTCTGTGAAGTGAACTATATTTCAAACTTTTATAAACTCATCTAAGAATTATAACTCTCATACGATTATACCATAAATTTGGTCTTTGTTTTGGGAAATACAATGCAACGGCACCACCAATTACTTTATTAAAAGCAGCTCTCACCTTAAAATTTGTCTCAGACTCATACCAATTAGAATTATAAACCATTTCCATCAGCTTCTTTTCTGTAATTGCGATAATATTAAAATGTGAATATTCCAGTGTTGAAATATTTTTCATAATGACTTTGCATTTTCATGAATTTTTCCAAGGAGCTCTGTTGGAGTTTCTGGCGCGCAAAAGACCCCGACATTTTTTTTACCTCGCTTTACTTCCAAGCTCCATTTCTTATGAGGGAGCCACGCTTGGCACGCTTGACTGCCCTGTTTTGGGCGACTGCGATGAATTGCGTGTAGGCATTCTTATTTAAATGTTAGTCTATTTATAAGTGGAGGAGAAGAAACGTAAAAGTGAGGTGGAAGCAAAAGTTTCACCTAAACAAGTACCACTGATGCAGGAGATATTTACCTAGTAGTAAGTCACTTGCATAGGAGTCACTTGCTTATGAGATACTTGCCTAGAAGATACTTGCCTATGAGATACTTGCCTAGGAGATACTTGCCTAGGAGATAGTTGCCCAAGAGATATTTGCCTAAGAGATGCTTGCCTAAGAGATACTTGCCTAAGAGATACTTGCCTATGAGTTACTTGCCTAGGAGATACTTGCCTAAGAGATACTTGCCTAGAAGATACATGCCTAGCAGATACTTGCCCAAGACATACTTGCCTAAGAGATACTTGACTAGAAGATATTTGCCTAGGATATACTTGCCTAGGAGATAATTGCCTAAGAGATACTTGCCTAGGAGATACTTACCTATGATACACATGCCTATTAGATACTTGCCGAGGAGATACTTACCTAGGATACACTTGCCTATCAGATACTTGCCTAGGAGATACTTACCTAGGATACACTTGCCTAGGAGATACCTCAACTGATGATCTGATACATGATTCGCCACTACGGGGGAGAACGTCGTCAACATTTGAAGTCACCATTTATTTGAAGCAATACTCCCAATCCGAAACACTATCAATTCGGCACTTGTTTCGAGACAGTAACGTTGGCCTCAAACATGAACCGCAGAAATAAACTCTACCATCTAACTCTGAACAGTTTTTTATAATCGAATTTTCTGATGCCGCTGATTAATTAATTACAGACCTTCCGTGTGGCACAAGTTGATCTTGAAACGAAGCACCAGTTTTTCTTCAACACAAATTAAAATTCTTGAAACAATATGCGAAATTTCTAACTTTATAATCGTGGCTGGTCATCGCGAAAATTTCGTGCAGCTGCATGTTAAATATTTAGTGCTTAAATTGGCATAATTTCATATAGGTTCACACTCTCAGCGCATTGCTCGTGCCAGCACAATACCGAAGCCGTCTTTGTTCTATAGTATCAATAATACTGCGCGGTGAGAAATGATTGCTTTTATTATTTTGGAAAAGATGCATCCCGTGTATTGACAACCGAAACACAATATCAACTCATGAAGTTGGCCGCCCGTAAACCTCCTATTATTCTGCTCAGAGAATACCTCCTCCTCGTTAATCTCAGAGACTGGACTTGTCTCTGCGATATGATCGTTACAGGTCTCTTCCGGCGCAGAGATCCATCAACGTGAGACTAGCTACTGCGGTGACAATTTTGACAGAGCCTGACGTGACAAAAATGTTAGCGGAATTGTCTGGATACTTACATATTTGTCATTATTTTAGTAACCCCAGTTGGGATACTAAGATTTAGCACGTTAATTATGCATTCACTTTATTTGCAATTAATTCAACAGCGTTACCTCGAGTATGAGAAGTGATTCAATCTTTTATTTTCAATGCGCTCTGGATAAGAACTCGTTTTCACCAGCTAGGTCATCATATACAGGTTTATCGTCAATTTCAATGGAACAAGATTGAACTTTTTACATTGCGATGTAAAATATGAATACGCAGGTTTAAAATGAGTTTTCTTTATGTCTCTGCATATACCACACAACTTTCTAGCCAACATACAACTTTTTTTCCTACATACAACTTTTTGCCTTGAATAACGGTAAAGTGTAGGAAATTTTCAAAAAAGTAGCCAAATATTTGGCTTTAATGCCGCATAATTCTTGTTTCTCTTGTATCATTGTCAAGTTATTATTAAGGCTTAGATTGGTAGTTTCCTCTCTTGCATATGCCAGGATAACAAAATACATAGCTGGAATTTTTTTGAAAACGAAGTGCATTCGCCCTCTTCAGCCGCAAAGAATCACCCCATCAATTTCCACACCCAATTAAAAAACGACTCAGGATTTTAGTTCTGCCTCTTCGTGGCGTAATTTATACGTGGAATTTTCAGTAGCCTAAAAATGGTGATGGCTTTTAGGATTTTTTCGATAATTTAAGGGTAAGCGGAGCCCGTGTCGTCTCGACTGGCCAGCTGAATTGAGTGATGGTCGGGTACGGAAAAAAGAAATGCTGCTGCATTTTTATTCGTTGATTGGGCAAGTCGATCAGAGTCACTAACACAGACCACAAAAGAACACCGCCGCCCAGAGTTTGTAGTAGACTGATTAATAACAGATGATTTATATGAGTATATCTGTCGTAAATATGTACACAGTAAATATGCCATTGTTAGTAAATAGTTTACAACATTGCTCTCGATTATTTATGTGGAGCCACTACCTGGTCATTCCATTCACATTCTGAAAACAACCCAAACCTAGAAAGAAATTCACTTTTTCATCCTAATTTGCTACAAAAATTGTAACACGTGATTTACACTATTGCACTATATTTTCAAGTCTGAATGTCAGCAAAATAGTCAGTTGACATGAGTTGTAGCTCACTTAAAGCCATTTACAACAGACCTTTACGAGGCCGCATTACGACTATCTTATTCCTATTACTAAGTTTTAGGATAGACGAGAAATAGTAAAACGATACTTTCTTATACTAATACTCCTGAAAGCCAATCTGTTTCGTGTTTTTCTGAAATCATAGGATAATTATTCATTTGATTAAACGATAGTTATTCGGCATTAATTGCTTTAAGGTGACAATCACTATAATTTCCACTCTTGGTTCTTGAATAAAACCTGCATTCCATGCATGACGAAAAGTCCAACTTACGCCCATTAGAAAGTTGCAAGACAAATAGGGTGGTTAAATTTCACGTAGCAGAAAAGATAATTCGTCAATATAACGAAGACCTTAGCGCTGGCTCCTTCGATGCATATTTGACAACTTGCGCATAACCTCCTATCCTACAATAGCAATTCAAATTATTTGAAAACTGCACTAAAATTGTACACGTTTATATCACGTTGATGGTATTCAAATTAATTAAAGCAAGACTGGGTCTCAAGTAAAAAGGAGTGTAGTAGATTAAATTCCTTTAATAGGATCAGGCTGAACTGAATTAAATGACACGTTGGTCGGAAAATTAGATTATTGGAGGTGCCGGTGCCGAGTCTGGCAGGCAGCTCAAGCTAACGGAGTAACTTCATCTTTTTATTAATTCATTTAACAATTTCCAGGTTCTGGTTTATTGATTTTAAATTGTCTCAAACTTCTTTATTTGCAAGGGAGAAGACGAAAAAGTGTTAATGGAACATACGTAGAGCAACACTTCTAAGGAAAGGTCGATTAAATTGTATTTAGTTTGCGTATAAAAAGATCCGTACTTCCAGAAAATTATCAGTGAAGCAAGGCTTTCACGCAAAATGGTATTGAAAATTGTGCCTTCATTGATACTTGAATATTGGGTGTAAAGTCCGAAGACTTTTATGCCCGTCGGCAACCTTCCCGCGTGAATGATACGGCTTGAGAAAAACCTTCATCATGTTTACGGATGATCGCTATTTCTGTCGGTCCAGATAAAAAGGCTGAAGTACAGGCTTTAGAATGTGCATTCTTGAAGCAGGGCAAAATTATTTTATCATACTTTATTTTAAAATGTATAAAATTCATGTGCATATAGAGCTTTCTGACCCACTAACCTTTGCAGCTGGGAAATTCAACATTAACCTCAAGGTTACCCATTTGAATGACATGAATTCACATAACACTTTCATGCCCAGACGCTGATAAGCAGAAACAATAAGTAATCATAACTAAAAATCAACATACCCGAAATCGAATAAATTTTAATTCTATGAATTTTGGAGATTCTGGATTTCAAGATTCAAAATTCGGCCTACAGTTTTTGAGCAAAGTATCTTATTTACTTAGACTCGCGATAAAAAAATCCTAGGGATTTTGATATTACCTTAGAGAACAAATTGTAGAGAGGTTAGTGTCTGTGCCGTCCATAGCAGCAAAGCATATCAAATCAGACAAGATTTTTTGCACCAACTGAAAAGTATGAAATTCTTTGGATTTCTTTCAAAACCTTATATGATAGTAATTATCTTCCCTTATAGAGCACCTTATAGAGCACCCCCTTATAGAGCACCTTCCCTTATAGCTTTGACTCGAACGTGTTCCGTTCATTCATTTAACAAATAATAATATGTGGCTTTACTTTACATACCGGCTGAAGCGTCATGATGACATCACAGTTCAGCTGATGTTCAAAGAGCTCTCCGACGCTCGCGTTCTTTTTATGAAAACATATCA